CAGGCTTGAAAATAATGGAGACTGGTTGGATTATCGCCAGGCCCAGCTCAAAGGGAGACACGGGGGCTTCAGACCTGGACAGAGGAAACTGCTGGGGCCACCCTTGGGGCTGGACGTTATAATGTTCCTTGAACACCACAGGCAGGGGGAGATAGGGGCTCTTGTGGGCTGCTGCGTGAAGGTGAAGCTGTGGGATAGATTGGGAGAGGCGTCTGCGTGGTTCTCCTCCCAGACGAGGCAGAGGGTTGGGAACGGCTCCGCAGGTTTTGCGGAGGAGAGGGCGCTGAGGTGGCAAAGCGTAAGGCTCCAGCGTTCAGCGGGTGTGGAGAGTCTGTGCAGAGATCGGAGGAGACGCCAGGAATCCCTGGTTGTCCTGGAATCCTCTGGCTCCACAGTTTGCTTGCCCTCTGGTTATTTTTAGCTCCTTGTGATGTTATCTTAACAACATATATAAAATTTTCTTCCTGACCAGCTTTCAAAAAACGGAGCTTATGTTCTTTTATGTGCCGCAGGGAGGGTGTGCTGCAGCAGTAGAGTTTCACCGGCCTTTTCTCACCTCTTTGTGGTGTCAGGTGCAGCCGGAATGGATTCCCAGGAGATCAAAGAGCTGCAGCAAGAAGTGATGGAGGAGCTGGGAATCTCCATGGAGGAGCTCCAGGATATCATCGACAAAGAGCTGGAGAAGTTTGAGTGCGTGAAGCAGAGGAAGCAGCAACTGGAGGAGCTGGAGAAGTGCGTGAAACAGAAGGAAGAAGAGGTGGCTCGCGTTGACCGGCTCTTTGATGACGCTTCGAGGTGGGCGCGCTTGGAATCACAGCCACGTGTCAGAGTCGGGCCTCAGAGCAGAGGAGGGGGAGATCAGGTGGCCAAGTCCGATGTCTTGAGTGCTGCCCATTGCCCTTCGCTGTAGACTGATGCTGTGATTCTGCATCGGTTCATTTGTGTGTGGTTATTGAGGGATAATTAAAATTATTCCCCTGTGGCTTTAAATCCTTCATGTGAATACTCCTCCCTCACCTCATCATGGTTGTATTTAATTAGCGGCTCCCCAGTGGTCGGTTCCTATTTCTTTCTGCGGTATTGTGGGACGTACAGCTGGGCTCACCTTGTCTTTTACTGTCTCTGCACGTCTCTCTCTCCCCAGAGCCATTGATAAATGCGAGATATTGGTGAAGGATCTCTACTCCAAGCTGGGCCTCCAGTACCGTGAGAGCAGTTCTGAGGACGAGGACTTGGCTGCCAAGGCCATGGAAGTGATTGAGATCCCAGACGAGGATGACGACGATGTCATGAGTATCGATTCGGGCTGGAAGCACAGTTCAGTAGCTCATTGCTCCACATGGTACCGAGGGGAGGGATGGAGATCTGAGCATGTCCTGGAGGAGAATGGGAATGAGGGGGATCAGAATAAGGATATCATAAAGTTGGCCATAAGCCACGCTGGTCCGTAAGCAGGAGAGGATCAAGTAGGGAATGCCATTAGCTCATGTGAGGAACATCAATGCTGGCATGGTCTCCATGGTTCCTGGAGTCCCAGACTGGGACTTTTCCCTTTTCCCACCTGCCTGATCGTTGTCCCCATCAAGTGCTGCCCCTGCAGGGAAGCTGCCTGTGCAGCATGTTGTGGGTCTAGAAAGGGTGGCTTAGTAAAAGTGCTTGAGTGGATTTCTTGAGAGGGACAGAGAAGGTTTTTGAAGGGACACTTTTCTCTGTTCCCTCTTCTTTCAGTGACTTAAGTAGGATGGATTTTTTCCTCCCCAAGATGTTTTAAACCACTTCTTTTCTCTTTAAATGCAGGCAATAGTAGTCCCAGAATCATAAAGGATCAGACTCTGGTGAGTTGGAAAAGACCTATAGTGTACTTCTGAAGTGGGGTTTTGCTGGAACACGTAGGACAGCATTGTATTTGGTGCAAAAAAGAAAAGGTTCTTCATATTTTCTTTCTCTTTCCTTCCCTTCAGCTGCGGGAAGCCATGGCTGCAATGAGAAAGTCCGCCCAGGATGTTCAGAAATTTATGGATGCCGTGAACAAGAAAACAAATGCCCAGGATGCACAAAAAGGTCAGCGTGCGAGAGCTTCCCGGGGCTGACAGACATGGGCTGGCACTCGTGTGTGCCCTTACCCTGGTCCTGTCCCAGTCTTCCGCCTGTTGGTTTTCCTTGTGAAAAAGAAAATAACTATTCTATTTCCCCACTGGAAAGACCCATCAGGATATATTGATTCCAAATTCCTATTTTAATTTAAGCCCTTTCTGAAAGCAAATACAAGTGGTGCAGTTCCCATAACACGAAAGCTTTTTAACGATGTTTAAACCTCACTCAAACCTTACTTACCGTCCAGTAAAACTGAGGCACTTAAGCCAAGTGAGGTAAAGGAAAGCAAGAACGCCTCCTGTCTCAGGTCCAACAGATGTTCTTCCAATGGCGTACATAGGAGAGGGAGTCTTTGGGCAATTTCTAACTTATCTTCTGGTGTTGTTCCTCGGGTAGATGCACAGACCCCGCAGGAAACTCCTGGCACTCTCCAGCCCGTTGGCCCTGCAGCGACTGGGAGTGATCTCAGCAATGACGGCGATTTGAACGTTGGCATGAGGATCCTGGGCAAGAAGAGAACCAAAACGTGGCACAAAGGAACTCTAATTGCAATCCAGACGGTCGGTACGTCCTGTGCTTGCTGCTGTGACTCGGTGCTCATGGCTTTCACTAAGCTTTGGGTGGGGAACGTTGATCAGGCTTGGAGCAGGTCCCCTCCCGGTCAGAGCACCTAGCGCCACCTGGAACGAGTTGTGAAAGCAACGCATCTCCACAATAGTATTTTACCTTACAAATTAATTTCTTGAAAGGCTTTCAAATAAGTTCTAAACTTGGATCAGAATGGTATATGGTGTTGGACTTCTTGTATGAAATCACTTGGCTTTTATTTATCTTGCCGTGTTGAAATGTCTTTCAGGTGCTGGAAAGAAGTACAAAGTGAAATTTGATAATAAAGGGAAGAGTTTGCTTTCTGGCAATCACATCGCTTATGACTATCACCCTTCACCTGAGAAACACTACGTTGGCAGCAGGGTTGTGGCAAAATACAAAGATGGGAATCAGGTTTGGCTGTATGCTGGCATTGTGGCTGAAACCCCAAACGTAAAGAATAAAGACAGGTATTAATTCTCTTCCACAGTCTTGTACCCCCCTTCTCTCTGGTTTTTGTTTTTTTTTTTTCTTTTGTTTTGTTTTCTAGGGGAAAAAAAGAAAAAGAGTATATTTGTATATTTGCTATTGTGGGAACTAAATTCTTTTCTGCCCTTTCTGGGGACGTAGCTCTGCGTGTTGTTTCTTCAGTCTTTCTTATCTCTGAAAGCTCTGGGTGGAGCTTCCATTCTATTACTCATGTCCCTCAGTCAGAAATTATATCTGGTAATTCATTCAAATTACCACACAAATGTAAGTCTGCACTGCTCAAGGCATAAAACACAGTGTTAGGAAATATGAGCCCTAGAAGCATTTAGTGCCAGCAGTGTTGCCAAAGCACTTAAGGAGGAGAAACAGCAGGTCTAAAGCAGCCTTTTCCGTCAGGTATAAATAAGGGGCAGGGCTTCTTCGATGTTGTGGTTTAGGCTTGTGGTCTTTCTGAGAAGATTCATAAAGGATATAATCGCCCTGTTTGTTTCAAATGTGGATCTGCCATAAGTGCCTAATTGTGTCAAATTCTACCTGATACGTGTTTAATAACTGAAAATGAACTGCATTTATTAGTCATATTGCAAATTTACTCCTCCTGGCTAGGCTGGCTGTAATGCTGATCTCTCGTAATGCAACCTTTACACAGCTCCATATCCTGAAGTTATTATCCAGAGGCACGCAGCGCTAAGCGGGTGCCGTATCCAGCCCTGTGGGTATCCCCCTCCGAGCTCCCGGTCCCCCGCAGGCACTGGGGACTCTTTCGTGCTCGTCTCCTGTCTGTAGGTGGAGCCCGGGAGGTGTCCCCCAGCTCTCTCCCTGTGGTGTCGAGTCGTGGTGTGCAGCCTCTGCTGCTGCTCTGTCCCAAAGGCTCCAAAAATATCTTTTCTTGCAGAGCTTAGGAGCAATTAAAGTCTTTTCTCTTCCTTTACTTCCTGTGGCTGAGGCACAGAGGGAACCTGGAGCTGAGGGAAGAGGGCATGGCTGTATTATGCTGCTGGGAAGCCTTTGGGCAGCCTTTTGGCTTTGGGAGCGCAGGGATAGCTCGGGGCTGGGGGAGAGCTGTTCTGAAACAACCAAGGGAAGTGGCAGTACTGTAAAGCTCATCATCTCCTGGCAGAAATGATCACTTCATTCTGTCCTCATCCACCGTATCTGATTTGAGGGCCTTTGGGACTGGCAGGAGAAACAGGAGCGGTGCTCCACTTTCATTGTGTGATGTGGAGCGGCATTTTATTCAGCTGCATTTCTAATTCCAACTTCCAACGCTTGTTCTCTTTGCTGTTCTCCAGGTTCCTGATCTTCTTTGATGATGGCTACGCTTCATACGTCAAGGAGTGGGAGCTGTACCCAATCTGCAGGCCACGTGAGTGAGCTCTGCACCTCCTGTGTCCTAACACTGAAATCGTACGGAGAGCCTTTGGGTATATGAAAGAGCCTGGGCTCAAAAGACAGGGGACAGGCTGCATGTCCCCTCCGGTGCTGTGCCTGTAGACGTTTGCATATGAAGTTGGAGGAAATAGTGGTTTATTACCAGCAGAGTGAGTGCGCTGTGACTCCTTGCACTCTGGGTGTGTTAACATGGCTGCATGCCCTACCACCAAAAATCCAGCTACTCAGGATTGCTGCTTGATTGTTCTTATCTAAAAATCCATCTGGGATCTCTTTAAAAAAGAATTAAAGATTCTCTTTCTAAGAGTCTTTTCTCCTCTTCCCTTTCTCCCATCCATCCCTTTCTGAACAGTGAAAAAGACCTGGGAAGACATAGAGGATGTTTCCTGTCGCGATTTCATTGAGGAGTACATCACGGCCTACCCCAACCGTCCCATGGTGCTGCTGAAGAATGGCCAACTGATCAAAACGGAGTGGGAAGGCACCTGGTGGAAATCCAGAGTGGAAGAAGTGGATGGCAGTCTGGTCAAAATCCTTTTCCTGGTAGGGCAATTTCCCTTCTCCCATTAGAGGGGAAGATGGGCTTAAATTTGAGTCTGGGGGGGGTGACTGTTGGGCTAATCAAGTCCAGTTTCCTTGCTAATATCAGACAGGATCCTGGAGCGAGCAGGCATTTTGCTTAGTAGGCAGACTGCCAATTTCTACTGTGCATTGATGTGAAAGGTGAGACTCTTGTTCGCATGACAAAAGCTTCAAAAGCCTTTTAAAGCATTTTGCATGTGAAACTCTAAAGTGGTAGATGAGTAAGAAACAAAATCCATCATCTGCAGGTATTCTATCCTGGTCCCTTTCTTGATACAAACACCTAGCAATGTCTTCTGTCCGAATACAAGTGCTGGTTTGAGAAGCAGGAGAGAAACTGAGCAGAAGCTGCGATATTCTGCTTGCTCAAATTCTACAAATTGCAGAAAGGGAGCAGACATACTATCTGTGCCCGCTTGGCTCCCTTCCTGTCTAGATAACTGCATAGCCACTGGGGCTGGGGAAGACATTGCACACTTGCAAATTTAACCTCCCTGTCCTAGAGCAGATTTGGTTTGTGCTGAGGAGTTAGCCTGTCTCCTGAGGGAGCCTGGTTTCTCCAACAGTGCCTCGTTAGTCAGTTGTTGGGCTAAGAACAGAACTGAACTTGAAGTTTGGGGTCTTGTTATTGGGCCTCTTTCTAGATTTGGTTTGTATTCAGTTTTCCCTCAGATACGATGAATTACTGCCTTTGTCCTCTCTTGGCTGCATGGTCTTTTAAGAGCCTTCAGGTCAATGCTTTGCCTCCTTTCCATTTGATTCTGCTCACCGTAAAAGCACACTGCTGTCTCCCAGGCCTGTATTGTACCTCTGGAAGCTCTTGCGGTAGGTGCTGTGAGTGTTGCCTTCTCCTTGCTGCAGGATGACAAACGTTGTGAGTGGATTTACCGGGGTTCCACACGCCTTGAGCCCATGTTCAGCATGAAGACTTCCACAGCCTCCACCCAAGAAAAGAAGCAAAGTGGACAAGCAAGGACTCGTCCCAATGTCGGTATGTGGCATCTTTTTGTTTCATTTGTATCCTGGAATTTGAATGAATGCGTTGTGGGTTGGCAGGGGCGGGTGGGTTTGGTTTTGGTGAGGGTTTTTTAGCAGAACTCCTGGAGATTTAAGATTTACAGTGGGCTTTTTCTCCTGGCATAAAGACGTCGCAAAACCAGACTGCAGATGTGTGAAGTGGCCAGAATCTGTTTGAGGTGACTGGCTGTGACTCAGAGCGCAGCCCGTGACCTGATGTTAATTGCAAATGCTTCTGTTTTGGTTGCCTTCGGGAATTAAATTGATATTTTGTGGCTAGCGCAACAAACTTTGGTTGATGGTAGAGGCTTTTCTTGTTGATATTTTGCTTTTTCCCCTTCCCCACTAGGTGCTGTCAGGAGCAAAGGGCCTGTAGTACAATATACACAAGATTTAACGGGAGCTGGTACCCAGTACAAACCTTTAGAGCAAATGCAGGCAGCCTCGCTGGCTGCACGGCCCATTTCTCCGCAGCCTCCTGAGACGGAGTAAGTACTTGAGTCAGTTCTCTGCTTCCACCACTACCTCCTTTGCGTTTCGTCTCCAGTGCTCAGCTCTTTCAGGCGCCGCCCTTTCTGTGTAGAGGAGTCCTCAGGTGCAGGTTTCCTCCACGGCCAGGCTTGTTTCCTGGTTACACAGATTGGTTTTAGTCATGCTTCTGGGGGAAACTATAAATAAAGCTGCTGGATGAGTAATTGGGGGCGGGAGAGCTGACAGCCCAGCGCCCTCTGAGCCAAATGCCATGTTCTTACTCAGGGCTAAAGCTTCGCACTTGATGTATTTCCAAGTTAGAACGTTTGCTCCTTCTCTTCTGAAAATCTGAATTACTCCCTCGTGTCACGATCCAGGCACTGGCCCCCGGCTGCCTTGTATTCCTCCACTTGGACTGACCTGCTCGCAGACCTCAATGACTTACGAGGCACTGAGAACTCGGGATCAGTGGTCGGTCTCGGTGGTCACGGACCAAACCTGATAAAGCTCAGCCACGGCCAAGTCGCACACGTGCCTCCTGCTGCCAGGGGCCCAAGCAGGACGTTCTCAGAGGTGCAGGCTAGTGCCGAAGGAGGCCTGGATGAAGGAGGAGCTCGGCCTTGTGATGAAGGGAGCGTGTTGAAGAACACCAGGGTACCTGAGCATGTGCTCTGGGACTTTAATAACTTTCTAGGGGAGAGAGATGCTGTCCCGGTTCATTTTTGTCACCACTGTGGATTTCCTATCCGAATTTATGGACGCCTGGCCCCCTGCCAGCATGTCTTCTGCTGTGACTGTGCCTTGCTGCATGGGCAAAAGGGAGAAAGGAGATGTCCCAGCTGTAAGGAACCTGTGCAGCGAGTGAATCTTTATTCACCGGATGCTCTCTAGGTGTAGCAGCATCTAAGAAACCCCACCTGCCCCCAGCCTCCGGTCTCAGGAGGGGGTTCCTCTCCAAGTACCAGTGCGATATGACCCATTCTGCCCCTGGATATGGGGACTAACTTGGAAATGCTCCTCCTGTGCCATTCTGACCAAGACTGGAGAATCGAAGCCATAATAGCCTTGTTCCTCATCTCTTACGTAACCAAGAAGAGAGACCGATGACGAAGGAGGTCTGCTCCAGCATGAGGAATGCAACGCTGGCTCCTCCACCGTCATCTAGGGCCCCACCTCTGAACAGAGGAAGAGCTGGGCTCTTGCCCTAACACTAGGGCACCCTGAGCTGTCAAGGGTGTAGGAAGGATGTGCCGTGACACGGCATGAAGACGATAAAGTTGGACTGTGGCGATCAGCCAGCCTGCAGTCTCATTGGCTGCCGAATCTCTCCTTTTCCATTTAACAGGCCTTACAGTAGTTACAAGAAACACGTCTTTTTTTTTTTTCTCTCCCCACAGAGGCTTTGACTTTAGGATCTTGTTTTCAGATCTAATACAAGCAGACACTACAGACGTTTCCCTGCCCTGCTATTAAATAGTGAACTGCTTAAAGACAACTTTTTTAACATTGACTGAAGGCAGCATACTATATCCATGTCCCCGCTGTCCTGAAGGATACTGTTGGGTTAAAAACACATTGGTTTTAGATTATTAAAACTGAGAGAATGGTTTCTTCACTCTGGTGTTTTGTTTACTCTGAGGAAGGCCATGTTCTCTTCCCTCTCTAGTCTCACTTTCAAGTTCTTCTATGGTGCCAGGGAGCTGCTGGCAGCCATTTATGACTGTTTAAAGCCTGCGGATGGAAGCTTTTTTCTTTTGCTCTTGAATTTTGATGTGTGTGTTAACACCTCGCTTTTAAGGCAGATATTTGCAGAAACGGTCACCCCCTCTGGCTCTCACTGTCTTCTCCCTTTCTGCCCTGATAACATAACGATGTCCTTCCACTTGTGGGAAAACCAGTGGCTGGTTTGGGGTGTTCTTCTGTTTAATCGGTATAAATGGATTGAAAATCTCCACTGTTGTTTTCTCAGAGTGTGAGGGCTAGTGTCTTCCAGGTGCCTCCCACCTTCCTGATGTTGTTCATCGGGCTGCAGAGGTGTTTGGGAGTCCCTCGTAGCCCTTCGTCAGTGATGTTATTACATTCCCTTGTACAATCTTATCTTGTTACTTGGTTCGGACAAAAGAGTCCTCTGTACTTCTTGTTCCTCCCACTGCTCAGTACTGTAGCACTGATCAAGCCTCCGTAAACTCTTGTTTCTGCTATTGCAGGGGTTTCTTCATGTACTGGCTTGTCCAGCTTCCTGAAATGAAGGCCTTGGACATCCTCGTTACACCCCCTCTCACCCTCATGCCTCACTTCCAAATAAATAGCAGTATGTCGGAAGTCACTTTTAAATGTAGTTGAGTTCTGGCATTTGGCTGGGGTTGTTGCGGGATCGCTGTAGCACAAATAGTCAGAAATGGGCTGATTTTCACACTCGTTAGGAAAAAATCTGCTCGGTTTCTCTTGGATGGGGCACTTGCTGATTTCCGTGGGGGAGTGTTGTTTTGACTGCCCCTGTCTGTCTAAATCCTACCAGTTGTGTGAGTGTGTGCATCTTGCAAATCGCCTCCCTTCTTCCTTCGTGCAGATGCTCCGACAGTCAGCTGGCCCAGTCGAGAAAGCAAGTGGCCAAGAAAAGCACTTCCTTCCGTCCTGGCTCCGTGGGCTCTGGGCAGTCGTCACCTTCTTCGCCTGTCCTAAGTGATACACCTCCGGCGGGAAGGACCGGTGCGTCCCAGCAGCATCGGTAAGCAAAGCTAGTTCGCAGTTATTACAAATGCAGCAATATCCCTACATCCTTGCGAGCGTTTGGGATGCTGGTACAGATTTGGGGCTTGTTTGGTTTAGTGCAGGTTTATTTTGTTATGGATTGACACCTTTATCTGCCAGCTTGTCCGATCCCGAGCATGTGTCTTCATCTTACCTTGTTCTCCCTCCCAGACAACTGTTCGTTACGTTTTGTTGTTGGCTTGAGCTCGAAGGCTCTCTTATCAGTTCTGACCAGAACTTACCCCAGTGGGACCCTGGCCAAAGCCTCTGACCTGCTTGGTTTTAGAGGACTCTTGTTTCTACAAGCTTTCTGGGGCCAGGGGGGAGCTGCTTTTAATGTAAATCTGCAGGTGGCTTTTCCACAGCAGTGGCTTTGTGGCAATCAATCCACAGCACAGAAGCCATTGATCCCAGTTCTGTGACCACAACCAGCTTGTCCTTGTTTCTGCTTTCCTAATTCTGATTTGGGTTTTTTTTTGTGTTCTCTGCTGCTGGTAACGCTCCCTTTGGGGTCTGCCCAGCCTTGCTCCCCCGGGATGCTGGGGCTTGTGTCTAATTGGACTAAGGAGCAAAGCCAACGGGGTGTCCCAGTGTGTAACTAACAGCTGCTTTGATAGGAATTAAGTGCCTAAAATCCACTTGCAGTTTGAGGAGAAAGCACCGCTCT